TATTTTGAATTTTCCTACCGCAGTGTGATTTGAAAACATGAGGTCAAAATCTTACAGTTACGCTCGTTCCGTAATCGGTACTTATCATCCATTTCATCACCATCATCATCCATTTTCTGCAAAATATGCGATACCTAATCAGAGTNATATCAATACTCAACTGCCTTCGCTTAGTGAAAGCGTTTCGTCGCCAAGGAGAGATAGAATGAAAAGCTCGAGTGTCAGTCTATAGCCAGATCGACGAATCACTGACAGCTCACCTAAGGGAGTTGGCCTTGACCCCAAATCAATCATGAGCAAGCATAAGAACCACACCCACATCTTTCTGGTTCTGGTGGTTATCGCCGGCGTGTATGGAGCACCTTGGACATTTGGCACCGTCCAAACGGTTTATGTCCCGATGGCCAGGCTATCGGCATAAATGGATTGTAGTATTCAGGCAGTATCCTGTGTACGAACAGATAATAGACCCGTTTCTTTGTTATAAAGTTTTTGTTCTACCGTGAGTTTTTGCTTACAATCTGGATTCAAACACACACACACACGCATATATATATATTTTCAGAAATGAGCAGATATGTTTTCTGTTCTAGAAATAACAAGATATGCATGCGTTCATTTCAGCTAGAACGGTGTGGCGTGGAAGGAAATTTCAACGTTTGTCGATCAGAATTCATGCACGTTTCTGTCAGATTGATTAGTTGATCGTGATTAGTCAAGATCCGAAACAAGGAAATCAATGATTTGGATTTCAGAATCACCATATTGATTATTGTGTGTATATGCGTTGAAAAAACTGATGACAGACAGAAGTATCTTCATACAGATAATCCACTGAGACACGGAATCAACGAGTAGCCCTTGGGAGTAAAATTTTTCGTCAGGATTCAGTTACGTGCACGTGACTTAATCCCGATGAGGATTCAGATAGTTCGGTGTGTATAGTAGATGGACATCAAGTGTATAGACTAGATTCAACAAAGGAAAAGGGTAGTGTAAACCAATACTACATGGAAGACCACAACCTCATTCTCCTGCTAATCAGAAAAGGCCGGCAGTTTTGTGTAATAATAGAATAGATAGAATAATGAATCTGGAACACAAAATACAGTCAATTCGAAATCACTGCCCATTAGTAAATTGGCTGTGAAAGTCCGAATCCCGACGAAATTTAAGTTCAACATGTGTTGAGATGTAGTTGAGATGGTCGTGGACATTGAATCCGATATTTTTCAGATTGCCTGGAGTTGGATTTGATCTGGTCTGCTAAGCGTTGTGCTCCCGGGACCAGCTCTTTCTTGCCAGCTATTAGTTTTGCTATATTTTTCTCTCCTTAGCGGTCACGATTCGTGGATAATTTTTCCGCTTAATTGTTTCTCCGCGTTACAATCATTAGTAAGTCGTGGTCAGCCTCACCGCCCCACACCTGTCTTACGGTAAGTACAATTTTGCCAATTCAAAATTTGATTTTCGATGCTGATGATAGTGATTTTGAAGAACCCTAGATGAAGAGGCGGATTCATAGTTATCAGAAAACTCCCATGAATCGTCAATAAAGTAGTATGTTAGAATATTAAACTAACAAAAGACAAATCAGGTGCATGTTTGTTATCAGCATCAGAATGTCAAGCTAAATATAAATGAACAAGTGATTACAGAAGACATCAGACGATTACGAGAAAAGCAATGTTATACTATCCAAACCGGATAAGGGGACGGGGATCGTGCTGTTAAATCGAATGGACTACATAGACAAGGTGGATACTATATTGGGTGATCGGTCGAAATTGACCAGGTCGACGGAAAAGGATAACACGGCTCAAATTGGGGCGGCGCTTTCTAAGGTTTTGCGATGCTTAGAACATACGCGAGGGGAAGTCATTGGTGCGTCCATTTTCGAAGGTATTAGGCTGACCGGGACTGTCATTCTGAGGTTGTATGAATTTCCAAAAGTGCACAAAGGTATAGTGCCGTACGACCGATTTTGGATATGTGCAACTAGCCATTGGCAAAATATTTGACCAAATTACTAGAGCCCGTACGAGTTGGCTTAGCAAAACACCGTGTCAAAGACACATTTGCTTTTTTGATCAAAATTCGTGACATAAACTTGATCGATCGACCAATGCTTTCGCTAGACGTTAGCTCGTTCACAATTTTTCCCATCAACGAAACGGTCGAATTCCTGTGCAGTTGCGTCCAAACTAATTATATAGAGCTCGGCCTAAAACCACTGCTTTATTCCTGCACGTTCAAGTTTAACGTTGAAATCTATCGACAAAACGATGGCGTGGCCATGGGGGTCTCCGCTGGGATTACTGTTCGCAGACTTATGGTGAAGCATGATAACTTTCAATTGCAGTCATCCATTGCAGACTGTGTACTATACATGCGGTATTTAGATTATATTTTTTGTGTCATCAACACAAGGGAACTATTGAACGGGTTCAACACTGCGCACCCTAACATAACATTTACTTTAGAAATGTAGTGTAACAGCAAATTGCCGTTTTCAGCTGTCTGTACCACCCGTCGATCAGATGGTTCGGTGCATAGAAAGGTAACTCAGAAAGACCAACACGTTTATTACCGAAGCTCTGTGCCTCTTAATGTAAAACGGAATCGGGTCCACTGCTGTGAGGACACGCTAGAAGGAGAGATCCGTGTTGTAAGCTCGATCTTTGCACGTAACGGATATCCGGAACTTTTAGTCAACAAAATACTTCAGTACACAGAGAACTCTTCACAAAACACCGAGGTTAAGAGAAAGCAATTCGTGTACATTTCGTTGCCGTTCAAGGGGGACACATCAGTTGGGGCCATACAAAGAAGACTATCTGATGCAATCGATAAGACTTTCTGTGTATGGGAGCTTCGCGTGTTGTTCACGTCCAAGCCAATGGTGTGTTTGCGACTGAAGAACAGAGTTCCCGACTCCGTGGTCATTCTATGTATGCTCATTTACTTGTTCCTATGGAACAACGTACATAGGCCGCACGGTCCGGCGATTGTCCGAACGCATTCATGAACACTACCCTGTTTGACTGAACACCGGAACAATTAAATCACTCACCAATGCAGTGGTTTCACACCTAGCTGAAACAAATCGTACTGTGGTCGTAGACGAGACTTTTTGCTCCCTGTGGGCTACTATTGAGGCAGGTTCGCTGTCTGATGCTGGCCACAGCAGAAGCTGGGGAAATTCGTTTGCACCATCCCCCTCTGTGTGCCCAAACACAATTTGTGCAAGCGCTGAAGCTTCCCTGGCCCACCCCACACGCACCGCATCACGTGTAATCTCGATGATGGGATGGGTGAACAAACAAATGTGTGCTCATGATGAATCCGATTTCCGGTCTCATGATAAAATTGTTTCTGGTTATCTGCGATGTGATGTGATGTGATTTTATTTTATTTTCTCAGACAATTTACTCCCAAGTAGTGATATATATGTATTGTGATGTATTAGTACGAATACGAATCTCTGAAAACAATCTGGTTCGCAACTGATTTTTTAAAAGAAAACTACTTTATCTGTAACAGATCATCATTTTTGTTGATCAAGACCGAGTAATTCGTCTCTAATTTTTGTTCTTTCCCAATCTCAGCCCTCAGTAACCTGAATGCATATTTTTGTTTAGTTTTTTATCCGTCTTTCAAAACTCATTTTCCAGTTTATTTGCCTTCGTTTGTTCTGTTCTTTCGATCATCGTTCAAGGTCGCGCTTGGCAGTTTCCGCATGGCCATCCGCTACCGCCGAATCGTTTACGCGAGCTCGGTGGTGATATTCTTGCCGGACCATATCTAGTGTCAGACTATATTGATCCAATCACCCGAACCGCTTTTGTCCCACTGACTAGTCCGGATCTGCTCAAGTGTCGCACGCGGTTTTTTGCCATTCATTTTCGCATCATTCAACATAAAGAACCGAGTCAGAGTCATCCATCAGTCGATTCTGCGGTGAGTTCGTTCAACGATCTCTACGCTTCCGGCTCGGTTTTCGTCACAGTTTTATGCGTTGGAATCTAAGTGTATTTCTTTTTTACTCCGTTTTGTTCTGTTTTTTTTAATGAGTTCGTTTGGGTCTGAAACAAGTGATGGTAAATGAAATGCTCTTACCGACTAACTCAAATGATCTCAATGTCTTCTGCTATCGCTTCTCTATGTGATGAAACAATTCTACAGTCCCGTTGCTCACTTGAGTCGATGGTTTACAGAATTGTGGCCTGCAAAACTATTCATATCTTTCGTGTACCACTTGTCGAATGTGGCTTTGTCGATTTAACAGTGTTGTAAACAATGGGAAGCATGCAAATACTCACTTGTATTACGCGTTTAGATTTCTCAGCAACGCGAACTGAACCGTTTTTCTCCTCGTCGCCTCCACTCTGAAACTGATTTGAGCATGTCACTGTTTTCTTTAATCCTTCGTCCAAATGGGCAGTCATGAAACAGTAAATAAACCCGGTGCGAGAAAGTGCGTGGTCAGTGATTGTCAAAACCGAAAAAAAACTGAAAATTTGTTTGAATTGTGGTTGTTGCTCAAACGGTTTGTTATTATTATTATTATTATTATTATTATTATTATTATTATTATTATTATTCAGCTATTCACTGGTCCAAAACAGATAAGTTGTCAGCACAGGACAAATTATAAATTACTGGCGCTTCAAGGACTAACAATTGTTTTCCTATTCACTGATTTGGGTTCTTGTATTACTCGGTCGCGTAAGAAGAGTAATGGGTTGACTTAAGAGACCTCATCTCGAACCGTCTACAAAATTTGGTCACAATACTTTGGATGATATCTTCAGTATGGGATCCATTGCCTTCCGATGCCCTCCTCATACGTTCTTCAGACGGGACTTCCATACACTGGGTATCCAATGCGTCCCCATCATTTTGCGCCCAGGAGACCTGAGGATACTTCGTGCACCTCA